GGCGAGCTTATAAACCTTGGATGTGTTCTCAAATGCAGAGTCAGTCAAGGTCCAGGATGATAGACATGGAAGAGAGGGGGAGTGTTGCTGTGCACTGAAGGTTAGGAAGCAATAGTATCAGATAATTGTACATGAACTGTATGCGGGGTGTAGGACCTCAGAAATGAAGATAGATTAGCTAACTGGTTTCAGAATAAACATCTGTATTCTTGATTAGTCTTGATTGAACTAAAGCACCTGCTGCTGAGTGCTGAATGAAAAAGTGCAGCGGTTAATCTTTTAACTGCGGTGCATGTGGTGCCACGCTTGACTGTTCTATTTCGGTCTGAAGGCGTATGAGACAGATATTGAGAAACAAATGAGAGCAGGAAGTGATGGAGGTGGAAACCTAGAGCTAGACAATACATGCCACGTGTGTGCTGTGAAGGTGAGGGTGTAACCGCGGAAAAGTTTGGCAGGGAGGGTGTGGGTATAAGTTCGTGTGACGGCTTGAATGGACAATCTCACTGTGTGTGTGTGTGCTTGAGAGGACATTCTGTGTGTTACAATGAATAGTGAATTAGCACAGCTGACACCACCTGCCTGAACAAACATCTCCCTCTTGCCTCTCTAGTGGTATCTAGTGATATGGAGTGTGTTTTGGCTTTATGTGCCAAGATAGCCTGAGGTTTAAATTATCCACCGCTGAAACTGCACTGCAATATAGCGGAGGTGAATGGAATTAAATTTCTTGTGCTTCCGGTATTGTCTCTGAAATGTTTTTTTTTTAATTTTCAATATGTGTTGGAAAACAAAATCTGATTTCATTCACTTTCATAATACTGTGTTGGAGGGAGAAGTCTTAAAGCTGAATATCCCAAAACCCTGGCACCAAAACTAAGCTGTGTGGGAAAACATCTCACTCTAATACTGGTGCACTGTTACATCCCAGTTTTAATAATATGGTTATTAGCTTCATATTGATCCCCAGTAATGATTACTGAATGTTCTTGCTAAGGATTCATCAGTTCTGTCACTCAACCAGTTATAATATTTACTTTATATTGATCTGCTCCTAGTAGATACTGTATGTATTGTACGTGTTCCTGTTTGTGCGGTTACGTTAGTGTATTTGCACATACAACACGCACTTTTTTCTGTACGCGTGTGTGTTTGAACAAATCGAGATCTCCTCCGCATAGCCTCAGGAGCACCGTGTGTGTGTGTGTGTGTGTGTGTGTGTGTGTGTGTATATCTTCACTTCACTGGAATTACCCTGCTTCTTCATTAACACCGGGGCTAAATCAGCAGCTGACAGCAGCTGTGGCCGGGGCCAAGAGGACATGAGCACTGATCTGAAGTAGATTAGGGAGGAGACTGTGTTTGCAACACACACACACACACACACACACACACACACACACACACACACACACACACACACACACACACACACACTCACTCACACACACTGCGCTTCCACCCACCTGCCCTTCCCTCGCCCTGCTCTATGTAGCCTTACCAGGGCCGGATCAATACACCATCCTGGAGCAGAGATGGAGGATCTTGGCTTTATGGAGTTGTTACCGTCCCCTGTGCGTGCATTATGAATGGGCCCCATAAGGCTGTTGATAGACCGGAGGATAGCGTAGCAAAGCACAGCCATAACAAAGGAGAAGATGAGGTACACACAGCCGCAGTAGTCAGTTCCTCTTTTATAACATCATTTCGATTACCTTATTGATCAGCCTGCAGCAGAACAGACAAAATCATAATCCTCAAACAGATCGCAGATAGTTGATTGTAAGATTAGTACGTCCCGGAATAACATTGCAGTGCCTGGGAGAGTTTGTAAAGACTTTCGACTGCCAAGAAAACTAAGATAGAGAGCAAGGATTTCATGAGTCTGGCAGAGAAATTGTGGTTTTCAGAGTAAAAGAAGAGGCTGTTGTAGATCTGATGGAAACCTTGTGTTGTGAGGGAATCACAGAGTTTAATTATTCTGTCCATGTCTAGAAAGTCTATTTAATATGTCTCAAAGACAGAGACAGAGCGTGCCTTGGAACCAGGGCGAGTTTGAGCGATTTACATCTAAGAACTGCACAGTGGCCATCACAGTGCTATTAAAAAAAAAGTTCTCCATTGCAAATGAGCAGCATTAAAGCATCTTTTTCTTCTCTCTTTCTCTTTTCATGTAATATTCAGTTTGTTCTCTTGCCCAAGAGTAGTCTAAAAGCTTGCTGAAAGTGGAATGCAAGGTATTTGGTTTCACAAGAAAACATCAGTGTTTCAGACAGTCAGTAATGCTGGTGAAAACTAAGATTTTTTGAGCTAGAGGGCAGCTGTATCACTTCTGTGGAATGTAATTTTCAAAATCATCCCCGTTTTTCATCTGATGTTTATCACATTTTCAGAATGTACACTGAATGTGACAGATATTTGGGAAACTCACACTCTGGCTGATAACAGTGAGAGAGCTAGATCATGCCAAAATTTTCTCTCAAATCTCGAGTTTAGCTGATAATCACATGCAAACACAAAGAATAAATAGAAATTAACCCTCACGCCATTAATCGTGTTAGCATCCTTAGCATAGCCAAACACTGCAGCAGCACTGTGGCAGCTGTTTCTAGCCTGATTTATTGCTGGACATGTCCTTGTGGAGCCGAAACAACTGTTTGGTTAATTAAGTACAGACAATTAATCTGCATCTATTTTGATAATTGATTCATTGTTTAAATAATTTTTGAAGCAAAAATTCCCAAAACTCTCTAGTTCCTGCTTCTCAGTTGTAAGGACATGTTGCTAATATTTGTCTGACTGGAAATCTTTGTGGTTTTGACTATTTGTTTGATTTGCAATTTGCAGACATTTGAATAAATTATAGATTATAAATTATAAATAAGTAAATTGTGATGACATTTCCCGCTGTTTTCTGACATTTCATAGACAAATCTGGGTTGTACATGAAAGTAAACAAGCCAGTGGATTTCATCTCCTCAGCACTTTTACCCTCAAAACATGACAAAAATATACCATTAAATATCTGTATGTACCATATACCATTATCATCAAATACCATTAAAATAACTTGAACTTCATGGTTAGTCCAGTTCTAGCAGAGGGTTAGACATCTTCTCCGGTCTGTGCTGTTATCAGCTGTTCCAATAGTAAACTTCAACTAAGGAAGAAAACAGAAAACAGAAAATAAAAGCCAGAAGCCTCCGCTGCATAGAATCAGTTTTACTTTTATAAATCTCGATTAATTCATCCTGCTTCAATTACATTCTGACTGGCTTGCCAACAAGGAACTGACCATGAACTGGTCAAGATAAGCCAGCTGCCTATATGGTGGGCCGCCACCCTGCATGTCTCTTGTTAGCTGGACTCTCTCTCGGTTTCTGGTAGAAATTCCACTTCAACAGTGTTGTTTGTTTCCACATTATATTAAATGATGCATCTCTTTACATGTATTACTTTTAATCGTAAATGTATTCCATTAGATTTAATTACTAATTAACTACTGGGTCAGACAAATGTGGTACATTAATGTTATTTTTTTACCCAAAGTCTGTGCCGTGATCAATGTCAGACAAATGCTTTGAGACTGAATAATCTTCACATTTACACAGACTGCTTATCGATAATCAAAACAAACGGCTGTTGGCAACCCTAGTCCTATACATCTCTAATGTAGCTTTCTGTTCACACAGTCATTTTCTGTGCTGCAGGATGCCTAGCTTTACTGTGTTTAAAATGAACTTAATTAGTACTGCATGGTGCATTACCAGTAGATTAAGTGCTTGACAAAGTGTGTGGTAAGTATTTTGTTGTGTGACATGTTGAGGAGATTAAGTGTGGTCATTAACCACATTGACAGCTACATCGCTATGTTTGTACTGTACATTGATGTAGACAGACACACAAACATACACTCAGGTTTATTTTGAAAGCCACTTGCACATTTAATCTTTGAGATCTCTCCCTCTTTTTTTTCCTTCTACTTGCCTCCTGACATATTTTCTCTCTCGCACAGTTTCCTTCCTTTCCGCTGCCCTTATTCCCACCAGTCTCTCCTCCCTGTTTTTTTCCCTGTCTCTTTCCCCCACGTCTCGTCAGTCCTCCTCGGCTCTCGGGTCACCTGTGTTGATTTACTGTCAAATCTTCTAGGATTATCGGTAATCCCACAGCAGTAAAATCTGTTTGCTGACAGCTGTGCTCCCTCTAACAGTGTTGCTGTTTCCTGTGCACACACTGCCCTATATACCAGAAAAGGCCTGTCTTCCTCCCCAGAAAGGAAAAAAAACAAAGAAAAAACACTAATTTTCCACCTCAGTGGATTCCAATTGACAATATTCTGCTCTCTTTTTCTGTGGTATTTTGTTGTATTTGACTGTAATGTGGGACTGCTTTCTACTTTTATGGATTAGAGGGTTGAGCTGAATTTATTGTGGGTAAATAGGTATGATATTGGGTATATTCTCACAGGGTCACAGATGCTCCCGTGGGGGTTCACCCTAAATTCATAAAGCCTGCTTTTTTGAACATTACAGGGGATGACTCACCGATAATTTAGCCATTGCTTCTCACCCTTCATCCAGTCGGCAGCTGTTCAATCAAATGAAAATATAGTCATGGATTTGTGTACAATCTCCTTTCCATTGTGGATAAATTGAAGTTGAAATAGAAAATGATTGAGTAACAAAGTGGGCCACTTACACCTTAAAATATTAGTTATGAGTATTGATCCTGCTGTCCTCCAACCAGCAATATGTAATATTACCAGAGTATGATGCTATAATATTACAGTTTTGAAATAGAGTGCAATTCATTCACATAGAAATAAATATTTCTCAACCATTACTGCAGTGGCAATTTATCCCCTACAGCGGCAAATTGTGAACAACTGAAAAAACAAAAACAATTCCTGCTGTGGTATAATAATCATCTTTACACTTGGATGCATATCATGTATTTGTTGCTTATATGAGAATCCTCCAACCCTTGTATTTCTTCCCCAGGTGGTGTACAAGAACAATGATATCCGCTTGGAGCTGTCCCGCCTCGCTCGTATCGTGGACCCCAAGATGAAGCTCCAGGGCGACATTGTCTTCAAGTGCGAAAATGTCCCCACCCTCGACCCCATCAACTTCGAGACCCCTGACTCTTACCTGGCTTTGCCGAAATGGAACACCAAACGCGTGGGCTCCATTTCTTTCGACTTCCGCACCTCCGAACCCAATGGGCTGATACTCTTCACCCACGGTAAGCCCCAGGACCGACGCGATGCTAAGGGCCAGAAGAACAACAAGGTTGATTTCTTTGCGGTGGAGCTGCTGGATGGAGGGCTGTACCTGCTGCTGGATATGGGGTCTGGGACCATCAAGGTCAAGGCCACGCTGGCTAAGGTCAATGACGGCGCCTGGCACCATGTGGACATCCAGAGAGATGGACGCTCAGGTGAGGATGGAGGGGAAAAGGAAGGAAGAGAAAAACAGTCATTTCAAATTTGAATTTGAGTTTTCTCTTTTTGAAGTAGTTGTAACTAAAACATCACAGATGTTTTGCAATTACATACTTGTAGCTACACAGTTTATCAATATTAGAAACTTGATTTCTGTTTAACGCAAGCAGCAACCTCCAGGGCTGAAAAATGAAGCCAACACAGAAGTGCAGTTCTTCAAATGGCCACTTGAGGCTGACACCAAAAGCGAGTGCATCCCCATAGACTCCCATGTTAAATGCCCAACTTAACAGCAGAAATAAACATGTCTACAGCCTGGTACAAAAAACGGTTTTATTCTCTATAGATAATTTCTCCCTTCGTGGCAACTGTACATGGGTGAATCTTTGTATAACTCACCCTTTTAAATTTTATTAAGGCTTAAAGTTATGCATAATTGATGGTCTGCTGCTGTGAGTGACAGTTGAGTGAGCGTATACTTGCCAAAAACCGGCATGCACCGAGGTTTCGATTCCACACACCACCCCACTTATTCACCCATTTTGGGATTAGCTGGGGGGGGTAAGGTGTGGTCAGGTACTGCCAAGATGGTGACGCCGGAGCAGACCACTCTGACCCAAAAGCGCTTTTCAGAAACCAATGGGTGACGTCATGGAGGCCGCATCCATCTTTATATACAGTCTATGGTTTAACATCACAGTTGCAGTTTGTTAAGTACTGTGATCAGCTTGGTGCTTTGGAAAGGCACTGAGGGCTCGTTATCTCAACGGTTTTTCATTCTTGTCTCTCTCTTTCACACACAAGCACAAACACGTAATCAAGAACGGCTTCAATCAGAAAACTGAACTCCTGCCTCAATTAGAAATATGTTGCCTTTGGCCATGCGGTATATGAATTTATAGGCAGAGAGCTGACAAGGCAAATAATCTGCCAGAGAACAGAGTAATCAAGCCGTGAGAAATAAAGGTACACTACTGTACAATATATCCTAAAATACTGAATTGAGAATGACTAATATTTTCTGCAGTGTTGCTATAGAGACTTGGCTTGTATATCACTTTGTAGAGACTGTCTCATCATTTATTATTTCCAGTAGGAAATCTACAGTTTAATTAATTAATTCAAGAAAAAGATCCACAATTGTTTTTATCGTTACAACAATCATTTTACTGATTATGTTTATGAGTGGTCTCTACTCCCTAAAAATAATGGCAACTGCTTGTCCTCAATGCCCATCACTTCTAGAGCCTTAAGTGCTGTTGATTCTGACCAAGAGTCATCAAGCCCATCATCAAGGTGTTTAATTTACACTATAAAACAGCCAAAATTTAGATTAGAGAGGCTGTAGCCAATCTCATGCCACTACATGCTCGTACCTGCAGAGAAGCTGATGAAATTCCCATCAGCATCAGCTTCACTTTGTGTTAACTGCTAATTGGCAAATGACAGCGTGCTAACATGCTTAATTAAGGACGTGAACCTGGTAAATGTCACACCTGCAAAATATTAGCATTTTCATAGTGAAAATGTTAGTCTAATATTGTTTCGTATTAATAGATTGCCATTTATTGATTTTTGTAATGGCTTACTTATAAACATAGACTTGTAAAATTGCATGATATTATCTCTTTGTTTGTTTTGTTTTTCGCTGTTGTCTCTTAGATTATACATCATAATCAATGCATTTCAGTATAGTATTTTACTCTGCTTTCATATCTATAGTGTATTGTGGTTTAATGATAGTGAAAACTGACAATTTTATTTACACTGTGGCCTACATGTAAAACCCAACTAGGGACACTAGTTGAAAATTGGCAACAGATATAAACTCTCTTGCATCGTCCCCACTAAATAAATGAATAAATAAACTAAACTAATTAAACTAGACATAAGAGAATTGTTTTTAAAACAATTTTTGAAATGGGAAGTAGAAATAGGAAACAGGGAAATGATTATTACTATTCTACAATATTGATAATAATGATGCAAATGGTTTAAATTGGTGAAATTGTTCAGCTGCCACAGTGGAACTGCACCAGCAGAGAGAATCAAAGTTGGAATCATGTTACTGCTTATTTCAGCATCACATCCACAGAATGATGTAAATCTCCTCAATACATTAATTTCAGCAGTGATTTATTGCCAGGACAAAGTCATACCTCTCTCTGGATAGCTACTGTGCTTGTTTCCCCTTGTTTCCTTCCATCTGTATGTCCTCTGACCTCCAAACATGGGCAAATACACTGAAAGTATTAGAAGAAGATTATATTAGAGAAAGGGGTTAGAAACTTCTGTTGCCTTGAGCTCCAAACCCAACACAAACTCTGCATTAGGCGGGATCCTCTAGAGGACTCGGATGTGTTAGTCGGCGCTACAGCCTGTGTTATATATCAGGTTAGAGCAGCCAATTTAGCCGTGTGTCAGAGCTCGCTGCTTTGATTAATCACCGGCACAGCCCCCGGTGCGATAGCAGAGTAGAAAGTAGGATTTTCACAGGGAAAAAGAGGAATGAGACAGATATATGGATACCAGATTGAGGGATGGTTAAGAACAGGCATAATCACACTTGTGGCTTGAGTGAAATGTTAATAGAAGTTGCAAGTGAATTAAATTTCTTGTCCACAAAGAGCTCTTGCCAAGATCTCTCTGTCTGACTGCAAAGTGAATGTAACACAAGTAAAATGTGAGAACTCATATTACACCATTTCAGACGAGCTAAATTTGGGCTTTATGAATAAAGCAAAGTTTTTATTCTTGGCCTCAGTTAAAGGCTGATAGAGAGGTGCAGATAGAGGTAATATATTACAAGGAGAGATCATCTGGACTCTTTTTTTTCTTTTAATAATTTATTTATGTTTTAAAGGCCCAATCTATAATTATTACAAGTGTATACGCATATCGAATTGAAAATTTTGAAGTAATGAAAAAGGTTTTTGTGATTATGATTTGAATTCTAAAGCTGTGCACAGATGTATAATGAAGTCTTTATCAGCATTGGCAAACTTCTGCTACTGGTTTAAAAGACCTGTCAATCATTGTGGGATTCACAGCAGATTATAACCTTGTAGTTTATCTTTTAAGGAAAATAGTTTTTCATTGTTCCTTTTGACTCCTTTTGAAATGAATGAAACCATGTGAAATAAGATACAGACGTGTTGATGGAGTCTAGCTGCGATCACACATCATTTCTTCTAATGATTTTGTCTGTGGTGTAATTGTATATTTTTGCAATATAGATGAGGGAATCGCTGCACCTTTGTTTCTACATAAATCATACATTTTGTCAAATCAGCTTTGCCCACATGCTTCCATGGATGTAAAAAAAAAATGTAAAAACATGTATATAAAATATAAATCTTTCTCAGGTAACATAGCCTGTAGACATTTTGGGCTCTTTGCGATGGTATAGAAGATGCACAGTGACCTTGTGCCAGTGGTGTGGTTATTTTTGTTGAATACAAGCTTCTTTTTTTTTTTTTTTCTCTGCCGCCCCATTCTGTAATTTTGTGACTTAAATAGAGTTCCCCTGAAGAGAGTGTTACAAACTCAGTGATCGGTGCAATTTTGGCTGCCAAACATAGGTTTACACCTCCGCCCACTCAGCCCTCATCTTAGCATGGAAGTCTATGTCCGCTTTTGTAGAGCTTTTGATTGAGAGTTACCAAATCTCTTCACCTCTGTCTTCATATCGATGAATAAAAATGGGGCCACCAGTTTCGCATTTAATTTGAACATATCATTTTTAGTCAGTGTTAAATATCAGTTTTGAGGAGATGTCAAATACTGTAAATTGAGGGCAGTCGCTGTGACTTGTTTTCAATGGAGTTCCTGTTATTTCATGAATTCAGCTGAAGCAAGTGCTGTTTTCTGACAGCGAGCAAAACATGACAAATCACTTAACTAGTAGAACATGACACTTAATTTCTAAAAAATCCAGCTCGAAACCACTGACATTATCTCACTCTGCTTGCTGTTTTTTTTAACCTATATTACAGGAGTAGATTACATGGCATATTGACACTCTGCATTTTTGTAGTGTAGTATCTTGCTAGTATTTAGTAATGTGTTTTTCTTCCCTCAGGCATCATCTCAGTAAACAGCCGCAGGACCCCTTTCACTGCCAGCGGGGAGAATGAGATCTTGGACCTGGAGGGGGACCTTTATCTGGGTGGTCTGCCTGACAACCGGGCGGGTTTGGTGCTGCCCACCGAACTCTGGACCGCTATGCTCAACTACGGCTATGTGGGCTGCGTCCGGGATCTGTTCATCGACGGACGGAGCAAGGACATCCGGCAGATAGCCCAGTCGCAGAATGTGACCGGCATCAAGTCCTCCTGCAATAAGGTGACGGGGAAACAGTGCGACAGCAACCCCTGCAAGAACAACGGGGCGTGCAAGGAAGGATGGAACCGCTTCATCTGTGACTGCACCGGGACCGGCTTCTGGGACAGTACCTGTGAGAGAGGTGAGACTCGTTTACAGCCATTTTCCTCTATGTGCTGGGTGTGTTTTTGTCTCTTAGAGTGATAAGTTTTAAGTCCTGTTGGGTGTGTCAGAGGGCTTATTGATTTGCTACAAAAGGACTTTTTAAAGAAGCTACAGCAGCTGTACTCGTTTTATGTGCTAAGAAATCTGTTTGTCATTGTGCTTAAGGAATAGTGCTGTGTAACTTTGTGTAGATTAGAGGACTCAGATAAGTAGTAGCCTTACAAAGCTGAATTATCTTTTGTGCTCTCCTAAATATGGTTGCAGAGAGGCAGTGATGTAGCCACTGTCTGCTAACAATAGCTTTTCTGAGCAAGTGGACAATGCTCTGTTTCAGGAGACAGGCACAAGTGTGACTTGGGACACTTCCCTCACAATATTTATGGAAGCTTTGCTGAAAGATTTAATAGGATTTCGCTTTTTCTGCCAAGTGGCTTTGGAAAAGCGACATTTTTTTTTCTCTTGCTGGGGAAGGTTCTGGAGTGAAATTGAACTTCTCTCTGGTGGTGAAATGGCCTCTCCTTGTCTGGGTTTTAAGAGCTTGGACGCATTAAGTTTTTATGGGACGGCGGAGATAGGGACACTCCTAGCTGTGGGAGAGTATGTTATCTGACCATTGTTCAGACTGTTCTTGACTTTTTTTTGCTACTATTTTGCAGAGCTTTTCGGGGTCAGTAGAGGGCTTTAAGTACTTTCCTAAGAACTTGAGGTGTGTAAAGAAATGTACTTGTCGGAGGAATAATGAGTATCTGGAGAGAATGTTGCTACAACCAGGTATAAGTGTGACTATAGGGGAGTGGGCCTGTATCTTACACAGAACATGGTCTCTTTAAAAGAATATTGTATACTGAGATATGTTCCTTCTATGCTGCTGACAATGTAAATGTGCAACCTACCATAAAAGTTGAGGAAGGAATCGTAAAGTAGCTTTTCTTAGAAACAGATAAAATTCAAAGTCGAACATAGAAACACATGTTCATGATATACGGTCATAAATAATAAAAATAAGAGTTAATTTTACATGGCAGTAATGCAGAGTACATGTACTGTCCTTTTGTGGAAGAGCTAAACTTCCAGTGGGAGCTGAGTTTAGGAGCCGGAGCTGTCTGATGGAGTTAACCTCGGCTTAGCCTGACTGTTGTGTCTATTTTCGTAGCAATCCCATGATGTCGTATCTGCACAAATGGGGAAAAAGGCAGCTGTGGAGGCAGCAGCGTACTGCTGCTAGGAAACGCTCAAACAGAGCCAATGCACCTCACTGACCTTCCACCCACGGGAAGAAAACATTAAGTCACATGTCCCTAATGCTCTATACAGTCCCCCACCCCTCACTTCTTCTTGTATCCTGTTCCGTTCCCTCCCACACGTCGGTGTCTGAATGGTCATATCTCTGCATTCAGTGAGCGCTGTTGCCGCTGGGCGATAACCCACGGGACCATGTGTCGGCCCTCCAGTTCTGGAGCTGGAGAAGAAAGCTTCAGTCTGGTCAGCAGTTGATTTTTACTTTGCACAACAAGACTTGATGTGGTGAAATGTGCTGATGGAGGTAGTGCTGTCTTGACTGAGTTCATGCCTCTGGATTTTAGTTTCTTGTTTGAATCCCTCCGAGACAGTTTATTTTTTTGGAGGTATGTTGCTGCAAATAGAGGTTTCAATGCCTCAACACACAGTGTAGTCTGAGTTTATGGAGAGAATCAACCTGCAACAATTTTAACAATTAGGTAATCATTGTAAAGGGGCACTCCACCAGTTTTACACATAAAGGTCCGTTTACTAGTCATGCAGAGTACTAGTGTTTAACACCTGGTGGCTTTCCAAGGTCTCAGGGAATTACCCTGATGATGTCATTCAGTCAATTAATGAAAGGGTGTAGGATTATTTTCCCTGACTATGGAAAGTCACTCTTGTGAAACCTTATGATGTAACACTAAATCATTGGAATACACCTTTGTGTTTCATCAACAACTACTGCCAAACATTTCATGCAATCCAATATTGCTGAGTTGCTGTTATTTGTGCAGACAAAATAAACACTTGGATAGCGACACCTTAGCCTCCGGGAGCTTCGGATGAGCTTTTGTTGTTTATTTCTTTCATTTCCTTCATATACATTCCCTACATTAGATTAGTTGCAGTCCAAAAGCGAGATGTAAGTTACAGATTGCGCTGCTAAAAATACAGTTTCCTTTAGATTTAGGAAAAGTTTCAGCATAAACAAAGATACACCAATATCTCTGTATCACATCACATCAAGTTATCTCAAGGCACTTTTCTAATGGAGCAGGTCTAGACAGTACTCTTTATTACATTGATTACAGAGACCCAGCAATTCCCACCCTGAGCAAGCACCGTCCATCCATCCATCCGTCCATCTCTCTATCCATCCATCCGTCCATCCATCCGTCCATCCATCCGTCCGAAACAGAGACCGAAACCGCAATACCAACACCCATGACCTTGTGTCATGATACCGGAAGACAGAACCGCTAATCCCCCCAAATTTATTTCACAATCAGCACTATTACATATGTAAATCACAAAATTATCATACTATTTAAAGTTAAGAAAGCTCTATATTTTGCTAATATTACACATTACACCTATTTTATTGTCTTCTAACTGCGTGTGTCTTGATTATTTTTGGTCCGATCAGGATCGACTGATCACACCTGCAGTAAAAGTTGGGCTCGTTTAATTGTCTCAAGAAAAGACAATAACCCTGAAAGTGCACACTCTCTGGCACAGTCAAGTCAGCAGTGTGGGATCACACTTGGGGAACAGTAATCCCTCTGGTGTTTTCTGGGTATGCTCTGTGGTCAGGCCTGAACAGCCTGAACTACCTCAGCTAGAGCTCCTGTCAGTGTGAAGGTACAATAGCTCGATAGCGAAGCCCTCTCAGTTTGCTGAACTGCTCACTTTGTCACACACAGTGAGGCCGGGCCACCCTGTGGAGGAATCTCATCTCGGGCTGCTTGTGTCAGCGATCTTATTTTTCAGTCACTACCCAAAGTGTGTGACCACAGGTAAAGGGTTGCAAAGCAGACTGAGCAGTAAATTGAGAGCTTGGATTTGTAGCTCCCTCTGTGAAGACAGTCCTCAGTGCCATTCCCCCTGTGGTACAATAAAAAGCCTGCTTTATTTCAGCGCTTTCACTTTCACTATCTCCGCCATCTCTTGTTAATAACGGCTCACATATGCTGAGTGATCCAACTTTTTTTGTCTGCTGTCAGACTCAGATGTTCGGCTTCATCCTGACTGTTTGACCCTAAACTGTGATCTGCACATGGGAGGTCACCGTCTGATAAAACCAGGAAGACAACGTCATCTGCAAATAGCACAAGGTCTGGCTGTCGGCGAACTATATTTACAAATTAGTCTGATCACATTAGCTTCTATATTCTCTAATGATCGCTTGTATTACAGTTCAGGGTAGAATATTTCTGAAGCTAACCCAGCAGCCCTTGAGATGATGAAATTGCTCTGATTTGAAATGTTGGGTTTGAAATGACGTGGTATTTTCTTTATTTCAAAATAAATGTGCAACACTTTGGAACAAATGGAATTGTATTAGTCATGCTGGTACAATAGTTTATTTTCCTCCTTCTCCGTGCATTTAAGCAGCCCCTGGAGCTCCCTGGTGACAATATCAAACAACTACTGAGATGTATTCACACATGGCGCTTGCTATTGATCTCAAGCACACTATATGGTACAACAGAGAATTGTGCTTGTATGATGAGACAAGGGGTGAAATGATAGAGATCAGTGCTCACCCGGGGAGTGCAACAAAGGTTATGCATTTACATTACAATGATTGGCCTTTGCTGGTGACTTTGTGCTAGAATGTAAATAAGCTCTTTTGTCTGTCTTTGTTCGGATCAGCCTACACTTTTTTGTGATATCCTTTAATTCAAATGGATTTCCTTGGCAGGCATCGGAAGTATTTGTCACATTGTATTAGTATTTCCATCTATAAACTCATGAAGTCAAAGCCCTCTCATATCAGCACAACCAAAGTCAATATATGTGAGTTCCTCTTTTAATAAGTTTGACTGACTATTCTTTTATGTGTCAATAGTGCTGGTATGAACTACTAATACTAATACTAACTAATGCTGCTACAGCAAAAGCAGAATGTAAGGATTTACATTACAGTTTTTCTATGTTCAATGTCCCGCATTAGTTCTCCTTCAGTTAGGTGTTTATACATTAAGATTTAACAGCCTATAAATCCGGCTCTCGGTGCCATTGCATAATTTACTGCTACAACATAACATCTACGTGCAAGACCTCCTCATGCACCATTGCTGATTTTTTTTTTTTTTTTTTCCCCTAACTGTAGAAAACCCAGACCTCATTGAAGTAGTTTTAGCACATTTTGCACTGATGATATTTTTGGAGCTCAAATAATGGAATCATCAGAAATGAAAGTCTCAAGATAATTTCATCATATTTGTATTGAACAGAGCACATCGCTCTGTGTAATTTCTTCTCTTCCACTGGGAGCTAAAAAGCTAGCAATTTTCTTACTCTGTTTACCAGAACGAAATGCAGCATGACAGATATTTTAGCCTGTTTGAGGAGATCAAAGATCGTACCAGGCGATAACTAAGAGACAACAGCGCTTTGTGTCTGTTCTCAGTTTTCTACCTGGTATCTCAGCCAGGTTTGGTATACAGATGATTTCTGTCTCTTATCTTTGGTGTCTTTTGTTTTTCTTTTGCCATGTGTATCTTTTTCATTCTCTTTCTTCAAATCTCTCCCTCTCTTTTACTCTATGTATCTCCCTTTTTATCCCTCTAGATTTGTTTCCCACAAACACACACACACACACACACACACAAGCTCCTTCTGTTTGGCATGTCTTCTTTAACCCAGCCCATGAGACACGACAGCACCTGTGATCAGAGTTCTGCCGTGGTATCACAGAAACAGATGTAGTGTCAGCCTGGGAGCCAGTCACTGTGTGTGTGTGTGTGT